ACAGGAGCAGCACCTGAAGAGCCCAGAAAAGATGTTAAACAAGTTCAGTTAAGCCAGTTTTAGCCATTTGAGAGCTGAGATGGAATGAAAACCTTTTAGACAGGATTGGGCATCCCTGTTCTATAAAGACATATCTACAACAAATGATAGAAATGCAAACAGCGGCTCCGCTGAAATTCTCATATAAAATCTGTCAGTAAGAAACAAATTCAACACTTCGAAGAAGCTGTTTTGGGAAGAGCAGGTTAAATATATTTTAAAGGAACCTGTTCTCCTAGCAAATAACTTGCTGTTTGTCTGCAGTGCTATAAAACAGCCATAAAATGTATATATCAAATCAATGGGATTGCTTGAAAAGTATTCCTCCCAGATACAATATTTGCTGCATAATTTATCAGTAGTGCTTACTTAATGCTTTGAAGAAGTACATACAGTAACTGCATCCAAGTGCATGTCTGTGCAATTTCTCCTGCTAATGCCTTCGCTGTTTCTTGTTCAGGGAATGCATTCGGAAGGTGAAATTAATAGAATTATAGAAGAAATTTTAACTTAACAGGCCTGGAGATTCCCATACGGTTTTGAAATGTTCCCAACCAGCCTGGTAAAGTTGGATTTGTCTCTTTCTGTGCTGAGCCAGTTCCTGTCTGTGCGTTTCCCCTGCTCTTCAGGTGTGGTATTTCATTACCGGGCGCCCAGTGACCGGTATGCCCTGTCCTTCCGAGACGCCCAGCGGGTGTGCCTGGAGAACTCCGCTGCGATCGCCACACCGTCCCAGCTCCAGGCCACCTTTGACGACGGCTACGACAACTGTGATGCGGGCTGGCTCTCGGACCAGACTGTCAGGCAAGGCGTGTGCGCTTATCGGGCATGGAGCCTGCTGGGTTTCTGTCAAGAGAGCTAAAGAGTCTCAGGAACTGGGTGGCCATGCTGATGTAATCTGTGATAATCCATGCTCTCTTCTTGTGCTTGGAGAGGTATATAACATAAGTAGTCTCATCAAGGCGATAAAGCACCAAGCACGAAACAGAGCAGGCACAAACACATCAGCATATACAAATTCGAGGTTGTGCATGAAGCAAGTGACCATGCAGAAGATACATTTGCAGCACCAGCCACGATCCAGTGATAGTGCAAATGAATGGATGATTAAGAGAACCCCCTGCCTCAAGTAGATCTCTTCCTGTTGGCTTAGTAATTGTGCTGAAATGACTTCAAAGCAGTTCATGGGCTTTTAGCCCTGGTTAAGTGACTGCGTTCCTCAGATCTTCCCCAGGCCAGAACAGTCAGATTACCAGTTATCGCAGATAACCGTGGTGATTTGCTGCCTGCGCTGACTTTAATTGTACGGTTTCTATAGCAACGCGGCTACACACTTAGTGGTGGAATAAAAAAAACTGTAATTAGATCACAGAAATAGAGACATCAGATGTTGGGGAATTTGGGGAATAGGTTTTAAAAGTATTTCAATGGGAATAGTTCAACACAGGAGGAGGAGGGCTAACGTGTTAGGCAGCTTGAGACGATGGGGTTCATTAGGGATTAAATATTACTGGAGAGGTGAATATTTCTGTGCTTCACATGCATGGTGAATTTTCTCGTGTCCACCATTTAACCCTGCAGAAGGTTACCACCTTGTAGCCTAGGCAGAGCTGGGCCTAGTCAGTAGTAGAAAGCCCTTGCACGAAAACCCAGGTTGCTGCTATAAGTGGTGTTTGTGGACCAGTAGGTGGCGCTCCTCCCTCTTGACCAGAGTTGTTTTTAAACTAGTGCCCCTCCACGGTGATGGGACTCTGGACTGCAGGAGGTGCTATATGTCAGGTCTCGTCAGTTTTCCCCATGTTGTGAAACCTGTGATGTACAGTAGGTGTAAGTGTGTTTTCATTGGTTGTATCGTCTCTGCAGGTATCCAATCAGGTCCCCCAGGCCAGGTTGCTATGGAGACCGAGAGGACCAACCTGGAGTCAGGAACTATGGCGACAGGGACCCCGCTGAGCTGTATGATGTCTACTGTTTTTCAAGGCAGATGAAAGGTAGGCTCTTCCTACAATGCTTAAAAAAAACATGGACCTTCAAAGCCTTGGGTGACGTCAGAAGAGGAGGAAAGATTCTGCTTCAAGTAACAGTTGTAAGGACAGGCAAATGTGAGCTTTCCTAAGGTCTCCATGGAAAAATTATAAGGTCTTTTGCAGTTTAATACATTTTTTTCATACCTACACAATACTTTAACTGTTTCACCATATGATCCCATGGGTTCGCTATTTTCGCCAGGTTCCGAAACGTTGTGCCTCACCTTCATGGCTTTGGGACCACGATGAGCCTGTCGCTCTCTCTCTCTGAGCAGGGGAGGTTTTCCACACCGCGGTGCCGGAGAAGCTCAGCCTGGCCACGGCCTCCACACACTGCCACTCTCTGGGCATGCAGCTGGCCACCGTGGGGCAGCTCTACCTGGCCTGGCAGGACGGGCTGGACCGCTGCGACCCCGGCTGGCTGGCGGACGGCAGCGTGCGCTACCCCATCAACCACCCCCGGCGGAACTGCGGCGGGGACGAGCCCGGCGTGAGGACAGTCTACCAGAACCCCAATCGCACTGGCTTCCCTGACACCACCTCGCTCTTCGACGCCTACTGCTACAGTGGTACTCTCTTTCCTTCCCTTCCCGGCTCAGAGCTCCGAGTCACTTTATCCCATCCATCCGTTTCCTAACTCCCTTATCACCATCACCATCACCATCACCATCACCATCACCATCACCTCTATAGCGCTTTACTCCACTCCACTCCACTCAAAGCGGCTTACAGGTAATGGGGAATCCCACTATCAACACCAATGTGCAGCCCCACCTGGATGATGCTCCAGTCCGCTCCCCACACACCAGCTCTCAGTGGGGAGGAGAGCAGAGTGATGAAGCCAGTTCAGAGATGGGGGTTATTAGGCCATGACTGGTAAAGGCCAGAGGGAAATGTGGCCTGGTTGCCAGGGTAACACCCCTACTCTTTTCATGAAACGTTCTGGAAATGTTTATCCAGTACAGGGTCTGGTGGGGGTCGGTGCCTATCCCAGCAAGCAATGGGCACAAGGCGGGATACACCCTGGACAGAACACCAGTCCCTCACAGGGCAGACAGACACAGGCACACACTCACACTCACACCAGGGCCGGTTTTCCTAGAAGCTAATTAACCTAGCAGCATGTCTTTAGACTGTGACAGGAAACCGGAGCACCTGGAGGAAACCCATGTGAATACTTGGGAAACATGCACACTCCACCCAGACAGCACCCCAGGTCCGGAATTGAACCCAGGGCCCCAGCGCTGCGAGGAAAAAAACACTCTGCACCATTGTGCCACCCAGTTACTTAATTAAGTCATCTTATTACTTAATTCATCCAGATTAGCATTGCTTCCAATTGCTTAAGCCATTGATGAAAAGATACCCAAACCACTTGTTTATCACTGGTAAATAATATATCTTTCTGTCTGGTGTTTGGATTTGTACTCCTGAGAAGGTGTTTGTCTTAAATGCCCCTTCGGTATCTAATTTTCTCAAATACTTATTCCTGACTTACTGTGTTTATTTTTCAGGAGCTTTTTACTCTGGGGGTTTTAGGATCTGTATAATGAAGTAGAGGACTGGTAGTACAGAATGAAATTATTAAGTCTAGCTTTACTGAGTGTTAGAGAAATGTAATAGACTTCAGAGAAAGATTATTGTGTTTTTCATTTGCTTCCTTAAATCCCCTGATGCAGCCACTGTCATGAGTTTTAAATGCTTAGTAATAAGCCTTTGAATAAATCTCAAACTACAAAATATGTTTGTTTCATAAATACAAATAGAAATGGAAACAAGCATATCCAGCACTTTTGTTATGTCTTGGTGAAAGCAAAGAAACAGCTCACATTTTCCTGAAAACGAATGTTATGCAGTATTCATTGAAGAATGCATAAGCGGCCGTTAATGTTTTATATACGCATATATCAATGTGTAAATGAAATTCTAATCCTGGTTATATTCTTCTGTACCCAGAGATGCCAGCAGGAGATAGCAGAGCTCAGGCTGCTGCACTGCTGTTAACCAAGGAGTCGGAGGTATCGAACTCTGCTGAGGTCAGGCAGACCTGGAGCGGTGAGGCCAGCTCGGGCAGCAGGGGTCACAGCGCACAACAGGACGCCCAGGCCGGAGCCCCGAACCAGCTGGCCCTCGAGCCGTCCACCTGGACCGGTGTTGTCAGCCTGCAGGAGCTCAGCTCGCTTGCGTCCAACGATTCTGCCGAGATGTCGGGGGAGCACGTGGTCATGCACGTGGGCCCGTCCAGCCTGCGGCTCAGAGAGCCGGCGGAGCAGAACGCGGAGGGCCCTCCTGGGACCCGCCCGCAGGCTGCTTCCCCAGGCCCGGCACCGGAGGGCGAGCCTTCCCTGGAGAGCCTGGAGCAGCAGGGGGGATCCGCCAGAGAGGAAGAGGGGGCAGAGGAGGAAGTGGAGGGGTTATTCCAGCAGACTGGTGGACACGCAGGACAGTCCCATCATGGGACCTCCGTCTCCCCCAGTCTGCAGACTTTGGACAACAACAGCCTGCTGTCTAATCTGGTTGACTCCCCTGTGTACATGCGGGGATTGTTGACGGATCACTTGGAGGAAGCCTTCTCCTCTACTTTACCCAGCGGGACAAGAGAACCGGCACAGTCCACAATCAGCCCGGGAAAGGGACCTGCTGCAGAACCTACAGGAGAAGCAATTGATGGAGATTCTAAGCCTGAGACAAGCCATTTCACTACTCAGAACGCCATACTGGAGCACATCAGCGTGAAGCCCTCGCATGGCGCATCTGCTGGTGACGGACTCACAGGCTCCAATAAGGAGATCTCGGATCAGGAGAGGGAAACGTTCTTTGAGTCAAGCAACAGCAATGCAGCTGCGGAAAGAGACCAGGCTGATGACCGCGGCTGGCCTGTAAGTCACCCAGATGTTGGCGGAACGAGACAACTAGGTTTGAAAGAAGGTCACAGTGAAGAGGCGGTGCACCTGAGCCACCCAGAGCCTACTGGCATCCCCAATAAGACCAGAACAGAAAAGGCTGCAGGTGCAGAATCCAACAGCCTGCTGCTTCCCGAAGAATCTCTGTCTGAGGCCCAAGAACTGAATTTGGATGCAGATGTTGATGCAGATGCATTGGGCTTGGAAGACCCCCAGCCAAAATCACGTGAGGAAGATGCCATTTCTCAACAGAGCTCCGCAGGGCTGCACCCTCCACACTCTGAAGGAGCTGTCTTAGCACAGCAAAGAGCAGAGCCCACTGCAGCCAGTCCCACCACTATCCCAGACACAGATCCATCAGCAGGTAAGAGAATTCAGTGCTACGGATTCACCAGACTCTATCATGTAGGGCTTGATAGAGATCTCACCTCTATTTTACACAACATTTGTATTCTTAACTAATGGTTTTAAATCCTTCTGAAATTTACAGTGCTTTCTAGCCATTAGATGTGCTACACCAGTCATTTCTGTCTGCTGAAAATCAGTAGTTCTGCAGAATACTGTTGTTGTCATTGCAGAATATTAATGTATTGGAATATGTTTTTTAATTCAGAAGGGAATCTTGAATTGCTCGCTCATATTGTCGATGTTTACCCAGACATTCCCAAATAAACAGGATTGTAATCACATTAATAATAGAATTATAGAATTTTAAAATTACAGCAGAGATGGTTATACATGGTTTCCGTTGTTTATCTGTTTACTTGAAAAATGCAATTACAGTCTAAATACTAATCAAGCGTGACGCGAAGCGAAGTTCTTTATTTAAGCAAGAGCTCATTTCCCACAATAGCCTTCAGGGTGGGCATTAATCTGTTCATATCGACACATCATTGAATTATAAATCTCAGCAGGCAGGACATGCGTATACTGTAGAGATAAGGAGGAACAGACAATATCTAGCGTGTTATTAAGACATTCCCAATGATGCTTACACAATTGGCCATCTGACTTTTTGGTGTCATCTTTTGAGCAGCATCTCATTGCAATCTACACTCCCAACTTGACGGGGCAGTAAAGAGGACACCCGCCCCCTCCTGCCTAACAACAATAAATTCCTGGGAGCTTCCTGCAGGACACTCAAAAAAGGAGGGGCTGCACACGAGAGGAGTGTAATCATTCTGTCTTCATGCTCCGTGCATATCATTCCCAGTCCTCCATCCAGCTGATCCTTCAAACCCGGACCGCACCAGAATCCACAGGAGAAAGAGCCGAGATCACATTAAGCGCAACGCTGACGGAGAGCACGTCCCGTTAAGCGGCAGAGTAGTTCAGGAGCACAATAAAGTGAGAGGAGGGCCATCAATTGCGTGGGACAGCTGTGGTGGAAGTAGATGTGGGGCCCTTTTCCCTGGATCAGGTGGAAGGATGGGGGAACAGATCATCAAGCTCCCTGAGTATTTAAGGCTGGCAGTGGGGAGATGGGGGAAGGAGGTGAGGAGAATGTCTGGCAGGTGCGGGGGGGGGGTATGATATTGGATGTCCCTAAGACAGCACTGCGGCTTAAAATTAGAAACCTTGCCGAAGACTTCTGTGTCGCTGCTGCGGTACGGATTCATCACCGCCTCGGGATTACGCGACAGCGAGCGCAGGAGGAAATAAAACAATAACTGTCCAGGCCGGGCGGCGGCTTGTGATGAATTGCTTTGGTTGGAAATCAATAAAGGTCAGCTTTTTTTTTTTAATTCCATTCCCTGTGCTTCATTATTACGAATTCCCCACCCCCTGGATTCAGCCTGGGGCTTGAGTGTTTTAATACTGGGTTCAAAATTCAGCTTTCGTCTCCGTGCGCTCTGCGGGGGCCCGGTTTCCAATCAATCCCACGGTCCGTTTAATGAACAGTTACTGGAGCTCTGGTGTTCGGAATCTCTCCCAGTTCGGGTCCGTTGCTGAGTGCAGCCTCTAAGAATCCCGGTCGAGGATCCATGGTTAGAAACGCACAAGGAACATTTCAAAGCCCTTTCAGTGGAAAACACTGAATTGCGATTGTTTATTAGGATGGTTTTGCTGTGTGGAAAGGCTTTACTGAATGCATTCAGCTGTTCTTTGCAAACTGTGGCTCATTCAAGTTAATTTTTAACATTTGGTTTGCAGTACAAGGAACACATACTGTAGCACAGTTGTCATAAGACTTCATTGTTGAATATCGTACAGAGACATAAAGTGCTCAGTTTAACTGCTCTGAATCAGCACACAGGGGTGACAGGGTCGATAGCGCTTACACTTTGCCAAAACTGAGAAGCCTTCATCTGTTCTATTCTTCCTCTAACTTCTCTGGACCTCTAATACAGCTGCAAATGAAGCAGTTAAGATATGTTAGGAAATATTGTATTTTGGCTCTATATGATACACAGTAAATGGTGTTCATACCATTTACATACAAATCTCCCAGAACTGTTTAATTGGGAAAAAAAATCTGTTTGAAAGTGTACTCCACAAATCAAAGGGAATCTGAACTGCTGTTTTCCATATATTTATCTTTAACGTCTTTTAAGTTATTTTAATATTCATTCGCTTTTATTATTCAGGAATTGTAACCACTTAAAAGGACAGTCTTGGCATTAAATAATTAAGGGGAGGAGATCCCACGCCTGAAACGGTTTTGCAGCCGAATGTGGAACATGCCATGAGGAGAAATGGGAAATGGTTTTGGTTCGTGGAGGAGGTATATGATTATCACAGAGGGGTTCCCTGCAGTTGGAGTGCTCTGCCATGGGAAGGCATCTCCTTCTCACCTCAGTCCTTCTGTCAGCCAGGGGCTGTGCCTGCGCGGCCCCCCTGCGGAAGACAGATTGAGCCGACAGCACAAAGCATTCCGAGAGGCAGAGCTCTGCAAGCACAGCGTTGAGGAAGAGAGCGTATTAATAAATCACCCTACAGTACTGCAGAGTATGGGAACTGTCCCGTCTGCACTCACGGTAAAATGCGGTTGATCAGCAACCTCTCCATAATGCCCGCTTGCTCCTACGGGGCTGTACTCGATTGAATGATCGCCTCCTACCAGTTCCTGTTCCTGTGGTTTTCATCTTTTTAGAAGAAAGCCCAACACCTGTCTTTGTACTCCATCTGGAAACCCTCACTGTTAATTTTTCCATCTTTCTTTTTATTACTGTACAGACGCATAAAGACTTGACTTCCACAGTGACAGTGGCTCCTTTGAATTTGGAAGGCAGACAAAGTATCTGACAGTCCGTGCATGAAAGAGCTGTGGAAAGAGCTGTCTTTTGTCTGAGTGAATGCTGAGAAGTGGCTCACCTCACAGCTACAAAATACATAAATATGTAAACATGCATTTTTGTTATTGGAATTGCAAAGAGAATGAATTATTTACAGAGTTTTAAGGGAATTACACCAAATTGCCTCTTGGAATCCTTGTGAGTGTACAAATAAATAATGAGGTTTTCCTCGGGACTGACGAACAGCTTTAGAATATTTCCCCTTTTTTTTCGGATTAATTTGAACAAAAAGATTGAATAAATAAGTGAAAGGTAGAGCTGGCTGAATGCGTTAAAAAATAATGACTCCAGCGCTGGAGTTTTCTTGAGCTTGTGTTTTGATTGCTAATTTAACGTGCATTTAATTAAAGCTAATGCTCTTGCTCGCTAAGTTAATCACAGTATGTTGTCCCTGCAGGATTAATTGTACCAAGACACCCTGGGACAGTGGATTCGACAATAGCTGGTAATGAATCACCAGGCTTTTTAGCTGCCAGCACTGTGCCAGCCTCACCGACAGTGCCACATAGCCTTGACAAATGGACTCTGAAAACCACGGATATAAGCACACCAGGCTACCGTGCTTCTGTAGGAGAGCAGACTGCCATCACAGAATCAATGGGGAAAGAAGTTTCTACACCTGAGGCTATCACCACTGCAGTCACTAGCCAGTCATCCGCCCTAGAAAATACATCCTCTACTTTGTCTGACACCACACTGGATACGTCAGGAGAAGAGCTGCCTACTTTGATGGAAGAAGCTTACCCACACCTTGCACAGGGCAGTGTTGCAGCAGATTCCTCAGAGTCGGTGAGCTCCCAGGAAGCCAAGAGAGCAGCATTGGACCTCCTCGCTATCCCAGCCTCTAGGGAAAATCCTGACAATTACTCTGGAGATGGCAAAGATCCGGAGGAACACTCGCTGCATCTGGTGCCGTTCCTTCACGCAAAAGATCATGTAGCATTCAAACCCCCATCCAGTCCAGCTTCATCAGTGAAAGAGTTAATTCCTTTTGGAATAGAAGCAGATAAGGAAGCTGAAGGAAGTGGAGTAAGGGATTTGCTTGGTGGGATGGATGGATTTAACGGTATTAATGGTTCTACTGTGACCACAGTGGCTCCCACTGCCATCCCAAGCAAAACAACCCCCGTAGAGATGGTGTCTTTAGGAAACGCAACCCCCCCACCAACCAGTGAGGTTGTTATGGATCAGCATACAACTGTCAGAGAGCTGGAGGAAGGACATTCAACCACATTTTCCACTGGTGTCAAGAGTGGGATTGAGATACAAGGAGAGGACACGGCAGGTGGACACTCATTTTCTGAGCCCACCAGAGAGGTAGTTGCTTTGGTCTCGGAGGTCAGTGCTGCAGAGGCAAAAGGGGAAATATTGTATGCCCGGCATCCAACTCAATCACCTGTCCCTTCAGAACCCAAAGGCATCGTAACAGAAATACCTTCCAGCACGGATGGTTTTCTTCTAACAGGTGGACAGTCAACCTTGCACCCTGTGGAGGAGAAAGAAACCCTACATGATCGCTACGTGACCGAAGCTGGACCTCACCCCCCAGTTGTTGCTACAACACCAAGCACATGGGCCACGTCTTTGTCATTCGTCCCTATTGAGCCCTTGGCCACCATTCGGACAGCCACAGCCGAAGCCTATGCTTCCGATGTGCCACTGGCCACCCAGAAGCAGCTTCTACAAACAGACGGGGCTCAGGGTCGGTTGTCATCGCAAACCACGCACGGTCCGGTGGTGCGTCAGTCCCCGGCTCAGTCTGGGCTCTCTGCTCCTACTGGGGGTCCTTCAGAAGACCTTGATGAGCCCACTGAGCTGCCAGCAGTCTCAGTGACGCGGTCACCTGAGAAAATGACACAAGGGGAAGTGGACTCCAACCACACTGAGGAGTCGCCACCCCTTTGGTCAGACAGACCGGAGAGCAGCTCTTTCTCTGAGCCGCCAGCAGTGGCAGGCCTGGACTTCAAGGATTCTGTGGGAGAGGCTATAACCCATTCAGTGTTCTTTGATTATACACCAGTAGTCCAAGCTGGGAAGCCTACTTTGGATGCCTCCCCAGTGGAGAAGTCGGCAGGCCCGGAAGACAGGCCTTCTATGGTTGCTGCAACCACTGACGGACCTCCCTCGGCCACCTCTCAGAGCCAGGTGCTCACCTCTGCCTTGATGGAGAGCCACCAGAGCAGCCACACATGGTACAATGAGGAGGAGGAGAAGAACACGACCACCCCTGGACCAGACTTTTCACCTTCAACAGCAATGAGTGGGCTTACAGCCAGCACAGGCGCAGGTAGGAATCATTACTCTTTTAGCTCATGCCCTTTTTTTATTTGTTGGAATTGATGCCCATATTAATTTAAATCTTTAACATTTTCATTCCCTGCGACCCCTAGGTTTTCTTTGGTCTAGGTGCACGTCCTTGTATTTAAATACAAATTTATGGCGGAGTGGTGGCTCTGTGGTTACGGGATCTGCGCCTGTGGCTGGAAGGTTCCCAGTTCAAATCCTGCGGCCGGCAGAGGAATCCTACTCCGTTGGGCCCTTGAGCAAGGCCCTTAACCCCCAGCTGCTCCAGGGGCGCCGTATAAATGGCTGACCCTGCGCTCTGACCCCCAGCTTCTCTCTCCCTGTCTGTGTGTCTCATGGAGAGCAAGCTGGGGTCTGCGAAAAGAAATTCCTAATGCAAGAAATTGTATATGGCCAATAGAGTGATCTTATCTTAAATGATGCCCCTGACTACTTCTAAACTCAGATTCATGTTCTGGAGTGGGCTCCTGCATCACAAACATTCATTTTATGGGAGCATCACTCAAATTTTATGGGAGCATCACAATCATAAAACTCATTTCCATGACTCTGGAATCGGCTCACCTAGGCATACCCTGTGTTTTCTGAAAGGCTGACTGCCATGCAGACTCTGTGTAGGAGATTTAATTAGTAGGTCAGGAAAAATGTTGTTTTTTTTTCCATCAGAGTTTCTTTAAATAAATCGCAGATCATAAGTGTAAGTGCCTGGTTTATATGGCATTTTTTTTTAACATCACAAGATGCTGTACATATAAAATTATTAAAAGAGACGAGACAAAAAGACGATGTTAAACAGAAATAAAAGTGGGTTTTCAAACATCTCTCCAACAGGTTTGTCCAAAAATGATGAATAAAAAGTGACTGTCCTAAGCAGGTGTTACTTAAAGCTATAACCTGCAGCTTTGACTTAGTGCTGTACTTGACCTTTAATTAACCCTGGTTAATAATTGCACTAGTTGCACATCTGATCCTTTGACAATAAGGAGGACTTAATGTAAATAGATTAATGTTTTACCTTGGAAAACTGAGGAGCTCTTGGGCGCTGCTAAACCTTGTTTATACAGCAACAGACTGAAAGGCAAAGCATGTGCACCACCTGCACTGGTGAACTTTTCACTGAATCTAATTTCAAAAGCATTGTCCAACATCAACCAAAAGGAGCACACAAGACCCTAGAACTGAGAGAGGTAATAACAGGTCTGAATGGCTTTGGCAGAAAAGGAGAGCAGGATTTGCCTTGCCTCTTGTCCCAGGTGCGACTTTCATAAGCCCCTTTAATCAGTGCTCAGCTGCTCAAGTGGCTGACTGCAATAAGAGGATCTCAGGAGCCCCCTCTGAACATTAGAGGCCTCGTCTTTGAAAACCAGCCTATTCCTTATAGCCTTATTAATAACAGCAGTGTTATAGGACAGAGGGCCTTTAATTAAGCACATATCGAATCTCTGTGTCCAGACCTCTTTGTCTCCTCAGGTGCTGGTTCCTCATCTCATCTTTGCAGACACAGATGAGAGCATGTAAGACCCTCACGTGGATCACAGTTAGACCAGACGCAGACACACACACCCAGGCTCATACACACTCCCGGACACATGCAGTCATTCTGACGCATGAGCCTATGACCACAGCCTAACACAGACACGCATAATTATAGAGTTAGCATCTTGGCCTTTCGTGCTACACTTTCTTAAAAGCATGCAGGCTCTAGCATTCTGCTGTGAAATTAAACCACACAGCACACACCAGGAGTTTTGTTTTCTTTCTTCGACAAAAGAAAATATTTTCCACCGCGTCCGACACAATGCTGTTCTTCCGTACTACTGTGCAAGGTTTTGAGGGAGGAAAGCAGCACAGCATCAAAGTTTGGCCTTGCAGCTATTTTATTACAGGCTTTAGAAAGAGCAATTTGCTGGTTTTCAGCTGGAAACACTGACAACTGGATTTTAAATACTGCGTGAAAGGTGGCTTGCTGGCAATGGAATGCCTGTTATACGAATTTTAATCAGAGAGGCTTTGCTAAATTTAACTGAGCAAACATTTTTTTTTCCTCAAAATGTTAAGCTCCAAATGAGACCTTGAGCTAGCCTTGTGCCGTGCTGCGAAGGAGAGGCTATCTTGCATTCCTAGTGGCTATCGATTTTCTGCTTCAGTTGCCTTATTGAGACTGTAGCTCTTCTAACTTTATTGCTCTCACAAATGGTTTTTTATTAATCTTAAAGTCGTCGGTGGTATTTCTGCCTGCACAGTAATGTTTATAAACTCTTGGATGCCCTGATGGTCGTCCTGCAGGGTCTGATCAGGAACATAATGTATTGAAAAGGGAAAGCTGTAGCCCTGGCTGTTAGTCTTATACTGGTCTGATAATGTGTTTTTTTTCACATGCTATATCTTGATAGCCCTTTTTTGGTTGTGATTGTGTGGTTTCTCATATTATGTTATGTTATTAATAGAGTCTCCTGGGCACCAGGGATTCACAAACCTGGTTTTTATCTCTGTCCCTTTTTTTTAACTTATATTAATGCTTCTTTGGCACATTATCAGAATGCACAGAGAGTTTCTTTTTTTTTTCCCATAAGAATGACCTAGTTTCTGCTTCCTTGGGCTCTGCAGACCTTGCAGAGCTCACAGCTTGGTCTATCCCAAAATATCCCAAAACACTATTAGGTATATGCACCTCTGTAGGAGACGGCCGCGACTTGTAAATAGTTTTACTGAGCAAAGAATAAGCGTCAGATAGGAGTCCCTTTGAACACTGGTGTAAAATACTTAAAATACATGAAAACTTCCTTTTAATTTACCCCCTTTAAGGAACCGCTGAATTATCTAAGGGCAAACAAAGGACAAACAGATCAAAAGCGTGATAGATGTGAGCATATTTCTTAGTTAAAGGGAGAAGGCATCCACATTCAGTCCTTAAAACACTCTTTAGGTATGGATGGGGGACTGCACTCCTGCAGGTTTTGCAGGTGCTTATAAGTTAGCCTCCAATTAATAAAGAAACAGATGATTTGACTTTCTGTCCATGTAGCTGAATGAAGCAATGAAGCATTTAAGATCAGAGGTGAAAATGAAAACTGAGGACTTTTCATACCTCCAGGAGTGGGGCTGCCCAGTCCTGGACCCTACCTCTGCTGAGGCGGCAGTGGATCTGTGGGCTGGCAGGCCCGTGCTGTATGTCTGAGGCCCGGTTAATGGTGCAGTTAAGTCTCGAAGTGGGCTGGCCTCGGCAGTCCTTCTTGCAGTGCAATGCGTGTGGGTTGTCTGTGCGTGACAATGTGCCGCAGAAGAATTGAGCTGCCGGGACTGAGTCTACAGAGAAAGCATCTCGTCTGACTGAGCAGCGCCGTTTTTTCCCTGTGTGAAAGTCTTTTGCTCCTGTAATTCCTTATCAGCAACTCAGCGAGCCCCCAACCCCTCCTCCCCCTCATTCCACCCCGTGCACCTTGCGTTGCAATCCACAGGCCCGTCTCCCCTAATTCCCTTTCCTCGTTACGCAGTTCGGGGTCAGGAGAGCTCGTTTGTGTTTTATCCTCCCCCCCCCTTCTTCCGCTCCTTCCTTGCTCCAGTGCTCCGAGCATTCCGAGAGGATTTGGGATTTACTTGGAAATACATTTGCAAGTTATTGAAAGACACCTTTTTATTTATTTCTTTTTTTTTCCCCCGTATTCCCCACTGTGCTCTGCCTTCTGGCACCGTGCTCCGGGTAGATAGTGCCTAATCTCATCCGCCCAGCCTTCCCTGTCTTGACTGGGCCTGCTGATCCCCCGGTGTGCTGTGTCTGGGGCTGCAGCAACACCCGGGATAGATGAGGGGCTCTCTTGTGAGCCCTAACCCCTGCCTGTGCTGCCTCACAGATAGAATAATAAAATGCTTGAGGGGAAACGTCGAGCGCAGTTAAAACTGCACACAGAGGAGCTACAACCTGGAAATACCATTTTGAAAATGCGCTCGCGCCAGATTATCTGTACGCCGAAGAGAAGTTCGCCGTTTCCCCCTCTCGGAGGACAGTTCAGCCTGAACTCATCTCTCTTACAGAAATATCTCGGCACACTCCAGTTTTAGAGGAGCAGGATCTGCACAGTAGGCACGCTGCTCCCTCTCATTAGCAGCAGCTCATTAGCGGATGGTTGAGCCCACAGTGGAAAATTAGCGTCTTAATATGGTAAATGGATAAATAAAGCAAGCCATCTCGATGAAAAAAATCAACTTCTGCTCTCCCTCTCTCGCTATTCGGTTTGATTTGCAGAAGTATTTTTTTTTTGTCATGCAGAGGGCACAGCGGTTGGCACGTTGAAGGCTTTTGAAAGAGCATCTCGTCAGTTTTCTCCGTGCCTTCTCCCTGGATTACTCAGCCTTGGCCCCGGCTCATCCGCAGGCTCTTATTAATAAGCTTGTCATGAGCTTTCAGGACGTTAACTAGACTGTTACATCAGGCTCCGATGAAAGAGCTTTTTCCCCCTCGTCCAGCCTCAGCCACCCTGCCAGCTTAGTTTAATGTAGGAGAAATGGCACCTAGGTTTTTTTTTTCCCCCCTGGCTAATTTCTCTTGACTTGAAACTGATTCATCCTTTATGGATGTTCTCCCCTCAACCCTCATTTATTTCTGGCATCGTTTAAGGCTGCCTGATTGCTAGAAGTTAAAGCCAGCTAGCGCTGCTGCTCTGCTCTCCTGCTCCTCTTGAAGAGTGGAACAGCTAAGCGCAACCCTGTGTACTTTCTTTGTATTAGCATCTCGTTAGCAGCAGTGGGGAAACTGCTCTTTCTCACCTGGGCCGGAGGGAAACGAGACAGATGCCTGGAGCTCAGAGACAGGATCAGCGCAGTTGGCGTGAGGGCGTGTCTGCATGGGTTTGACCTGCCAGTCTTCTCCCAGAACCGCCCCGATGGGTTTATTATGTGAAGAGAGCTTCGCTCTGAAAGCCCGAGCTGACCATCGTTAATGACCTCCTTGGTGGTAATCAATAACTGGGAGAAGGGCGCTCTCAT